CATCTTCATTAATGATGCGGACATTGGAGTCAGAAGCAGACTGGCCAAGTTCGCCGATGACACTAAACTTTGGGGCAAAGCATCCACGCCAGAAGACAGATGGGCGACCTGGACAGGCTCAGCAAATGGGCGGATGAGAACCTGATGGTGTTTAACACTAAAAAACACAAGGTTCTCCACCTTGGGAGGAAAAACCTGCAGCATCCTTATAGGCTCGACAGTGCTAATCTTCTGTAGTGCTAGCCAGTAAGAGACTTGGGGGTCATCATTGACCACAAGATGAACGTGAGCCTGCAATGCGATGCTGCGGCTAGTAAAGTGACTAAAATGCTGGCTTGCATCCATAGATGCTTCTCAAGCAGATCCTGGGACGTCATTCTCTCCTTGTACTTGGCCTTGGTGAGGCTGCAGCTGGAGTACTGCATCCAGTTTTGGGCTCCACAATTCAAAAAGGATGTGGAGAAGCTTGAGAGAGTCCAGAGAAGAGCCATGCGCATGATCAGAGGTCAGGAAAACAGACCTTACGATGACAGGCTGAGAGCCATGGGGCTCTTTCGCCTGGAAAAGTGCAGGCTCAGGGGGGACCTGGTGGCCGCCAAAAGTTTATCAGGGGTGACCACCAGTTTCTGGGGGAACGTTTGTTCACCAAGGGATGACGAGGTCAGACGGTCATAAACTACTGCAAGACCGTTTCAGGCTGGACATAAGGAAGAATTTCTTTACTGTCCGAGCCCCCAAGGCCTGGAATAGGCTCCCTCCAGAGGTAGTACAAGCACCTACTCTGGACTTCTTAAAGAAGTGTTTAGATGCTTATCTTGCTGGGATCCTTTGACCCTAGCTGACTTCCTGCCCTTGGGGCTCAACTCAAACTCCCAAGGTCCCTTCCAGCCCTAATGTCTATGAAATCTATGAAACTGGCTCCTGCCAGGCGGGGGAGTGATCTCCACTGCCGTGGCTGGGGCTCTGTCACATGCCCCCTGAAGCCCCAAGGCCACTGCGGAAGCTGGCGAGTTCGGGGTTCTTTTCTTTAAAGGGCCAGAGCTGGGGCAGGTGGGGCAGCCATGGTGGGGAAGGGCTGGGGGAGCAGCCGAGGGCTGGGGCCTGGCAGTTCCCCCATGGTCCCCTCCCCCACTTCCTAGTTACCAGCTCTGAGACTGGCTCCAGCTCCCTGCTGCAGCAACCAGGGACTGCCTGAATTGTCAAAGCTCTCCGAATCTTTTCCGAATCAATTTGGACCTTTTTATTGGTCCCCTGATTTGATTCGGATTTGGAGATTCATCCACCAAATAGGGCCGAAACTCCTCTGAATTGAATCAGCACCCAAAGCTTCGCACAGCTCTATTAGAGACTTCTGTCTCTCACCGCCACATTACTCTTATTTCTGGACTGAGAAAACCCAGTTCCTTTGACCTTTCTCCAAGATTTTTAAACCACTTTTCTTGTTTCTTTTTTCCACCAATTTGCTTATATCAGTCTTAAAGTGTGGTGCCCACATATTCCAAACTTAGGCCTCTCTGGGTGCATCTATGCGAGACACTTAATGTCCATTGGATCAATTCTACTGTGCATTAGTGCACCTGACAAAACCATGCTAATGCACAGCAGATTAGTCCATTAAGCATTAAACATCACACAAAAAGTTAGTTTGAGCTAATGTGCAGTAGTACCGAATACGGCGCATTGTTAGTACCTATTATTACAGGTACTAAACTTAATCATTAATGAGTGTGTAGATGTGGTCACCTACACCAAGGAGAGCAAAATTATTACTTTACAAGAGATGTTAATACTTCCCAGAACAAGATCTGCCTTTTTCACAACAGTATCACATTGTTAGCTCTCATATTTTTCATGGCCCACTATAGACCGCACATCCTTGCCTGATATACTGCAGACTAGCCAGTTACTCCCCATTATGTAGTTGGACATTTGATTTCTCCTTAAGTACTAGGCATGTGTCCTGAATTTCATCCTGTTGATTTTAGACCATATTTCCAATTTGGCAGTATCACTGTGAAATCTGATCCTATCTGTCATAACACTTGCAACCACACTAACCTCGATGTCATCTGTAAACAGTGTAAGTATGCTGCATACTCATCGTTCACATTGCTAAGGAAAATACCGAACAGGTTCTGCAGGTCCTGGACAAATCCCTGTGGGACCCCAGTCAAAATGCCCATCAGATTGGAGAACAGACTGTTTGTAACTTAGGAACTATGTTTCAACAAGTTGTGTAGTCATCACAACCTGATTTTATCTAGGTCATATTTCTTCAGCTTGCTTAAGATGGCAGCATCCAACACCGAGAATAAAAACAAGCATCATTTGCATATCTCAGCAAACACAATCTACTAATTACAACAAAAGCCAAGTGCACGCATGCTTATCATTCACCTCAGATGCTGCCTGACTGCTCTTGGAGGCAGCAGGCTGGCTGGCAGTGGGAATGTGAAGCCTGGGCATCAGGGCTGGCTTGCGTGTGGTCTCCTGAAAATCAAAGTATAGAGCACCTGGATGTATGACATCCTGTGGAAAGGAACTGTTGGTCCTGCTCTTCACGCTGCTGGCCATATCCAACATGAAGTGAGGTTCTATACTGGTGTCCCATACCAAAGTACCATCCAACTCTACATAGAATGGATGGGTAGATTGAAGCCTTGCTGAGGGTGGTGTTTGGTTTCATCCTACTTGAAGCCACCAGTAAGTCCTTTGTCTTTATGCATCCATGCACAGCATTCTGCTTCTTGTCTTGTGTTGACATCATTATGACAAGGGAGCCTACAGTTGTCTTTGTGTCCACACGAGGCCCTCCCACACCTTTGCAGGAGGAAGTAGGATGAGTTGGCAGGACACAGGGGTAGCATGTGAAATATGCAGGTATGCCAGGGACATATTGCCTATATGGGATGCATATGCAAAAAGGCAGATCTTGGTCACATGCCAGCACTTAAACAAGGAGATAACATCTGTCACTGAGTTCAGAGTAGTAGAGGCTACACAACAGCAACTGGTTGAGGCAGGGCACAGTGAAGTGTGGGAAATTTTGGAGGACCACCAAAATTCCTCAGGAGAGACAGGCACATGAACATCATAATAGTGTAATTTGCTCCCATGTAAAATTCCTCCCAATTGAAACGAAAGTAAAATCTTCTCATTTACTTTGATGCAAGGAGTTGCATTACTATATGGATGCAGATTCTTCCATTAATGCAATCAGGTTTACTCTGGTATAAAGTTGCCTGTGAAAACAAGTAGCCATTATTGCCCTCACTTCATTTCCCCACAAATTATTGTCATACATAAGGCCCAGGCCCTGCATGGCACACACACAATCAGAGACTCTCACATTATAAACATTTATTTATAGATGTACAATTTTATAATCAATTGTAAATCAAGAAATACAGCTTCTGTGAGCATCCATTAGGATCTATGCTTTATTGCACGTAACTCAGACCATCCATGATATCTACTTGAGAAATCAAAAGGTTTGGGTGGGCACTGGATAGAGTCCAATTTTGTAAAACATTCAGCACCTTCTGCAAACATAAGTTTCATTTGAATTCCCCAGTGAACTCTGCATGCTGAGTAGCTTACACTACTACAAAGGGCATTTATTCCAAAAATATTTAGATTCCAACCGTACTCCCCTAGGAGACATGAGGGTGATCTTTCAATAAATGAAATCAGATCAGAATAAAAAAAGTAGAGTGATGGTAAGGCTTACAATTAACAGGAGGGCTCTCTGGCATTTTGTTAAATAGACAGCCAAAAAACTAAACAAAAAAAACCAAATTGATCTTCTGGATTTGAGAACAAAGCCCTCTCGCACTTCTTCCAGCCCCAAATCATTTTACATGGCAACCATTGCTGCTTTGATAAATTTCCCCTTAAGGGAAGCCTGGGAGCTGTTCTTATAGAGAGATCTTTAAAAAAAATGTAACAGCAGGATAGAGAAAAGTCCAGTTTATTCTACTAATGGTAACTTAGCTCGTTTGAATTTTGCTTCTCTTGGGGAGCATGACAAAGAGACATAATATAATCTCGAGCACTATCCTGCTACTCTAATCTGGGTCCTGAGGCCCGGCACTTAAACAACATCCTGCTGCTGTAACCTAAATCTGATAAAAGCAGGTAAATGCAGGCTTTTAGCAGCAACACTCCAGCTTCTAAATGCAAGGTTGGAAAAACCATTGCTATAAAATGGGTAAAAATTAGCTGTAATCTACTAACTGAGTCACTGCAAAGCCCAATTAAGTAACTAATAAATAACCATTTCCCTCTTTCTGATCTCTCCTGCAAATGAGACCATCGCATAAACTTCTTTCAACAGAAGCAACCAAAGGCTCTGTTTTTTAGGCATGTCCATACAGGTTACAGGTTTCCTCAAAGAAACACCAGAAGTGCCCTGCCAAGGTAACAGCCATACTGCAGACAGGAGAGTGCTGGTGAATGAGGCATTCAAAGTTCAGGAGAAACAACAAAAAGGACAAAGCTTATGGCAATCTCTGTTTACAGAACTAATGGTACACACTGATTACAAGGCAAACTGCCAAAAAAATATTACGCACATATGCAAATTGAACACTGATGAGCTAAGACCGTTTTGGACAGTCCTCTCCTTGCTGAATGAGGTTCCAGCACCCAGTAGACCTGCCACCACTCACCCAGTAGACCTGCCACCACTTATGTCAACATAGCAAAGACAAATCAGTTTGGCCAATTTCACCAAGGTTCTTTCTTCCTGCAGATCTGAATTTTTTTTTTTTTTAATAAAAAACCCTGAAACTCATCAATTCATATTTTTATCAACAACAGCAAAATAATGCAAAGTAATTCTAGTTTTAGTGTGTCAAATAGGAAAGGTTCACAGAGATGGGCAGCACCAGAAACCAGTTGCAGCTCAGGCTTTAGTTTTCTGCCCAAATTAGTAAACTAAATAATTTAATCCACCCCCTGCATAGTTTAAAAGTCCAACATATATACAGCTATAAATTAATTCTAAATAGATTTTCTTTTTTTTAATTGGTTTTATTTCTAAAAGTCTTCCAAGTTCTCTCTCCGTTTGAAGTGACCAGTGCAATCATGGAAGGGTCTCCTCTGCTTCATGGCTTGCTGCAGTTTGGTGTGGGAGTTTTTGTTTATTTTACACTCTACATTTGTTCTCATGGTTGCTGTATCCTAGTAGAAACTAGACTGTCGCACTCTAGTGGTGTTGGAAAGAAGGGAAGAAGGCAGGCAGCTTTATTTCCTGTTCTAGCTGCTGCCTGAGACGTCTAACGCTGGAGACAGACAGACAGACAGTGAGAGAGAAGAAAGAGGGCAGTTGTGCGTTGCTAATTCTCCAATTCCATTTTAATTTAAGGTTTGATTCTTTAAAACAAAGTCTGTCACCTTGGCTCAGTGCACTTCACCAAAAGTCTTCAGGCATTTCAAGAGTCTGGGAATAAAAGTGGTAACTGGGTCAGTCTCCAGTCAGTTATAATCACTTAACAGGAGAAACAAACACTTTCCCACCCCCATCCCCAAATTACAGGAAATATGTTTAACTGACATAATTGAGAATGCTAAAAGTAGTTCCTTTGTTTTACAGCTATCCTCTTCCTCAGACTATGTACAGAGCTGGAGAGAGTTAATACAAGACTCCGTATTTACTAAGAAAAAAAGCCCTTACCAAAACAAGGTAGAGAGCATATCAAAGGTAAGAAAAATTCCCAAACCAAGATGCACACTACAATGGCAGAGCTCAAGACATGCTCCTGAGGAACAGGTCCAAGGACCAGGTTTTCCAATGCACTCCCACTGCCCACAATAGAACAAAACCAAAACCAAACCACTCCTAAATATTCTAAGTTGCTTGTGTATATAAATCAAGTATCCATATGTCCAACATCCACAATAACTTTTTGGCAAGTGCAAAAGACACATAGAGACCTGAAACTTGGATACTACACCATAGGCTACTGTCTAATGAGCCCTCACTTTCAATTATATTTGTGGGACATAGGGACTGGCCTGTGTGTTTTACATTCATCTGTTAGTTTCTGAGACGTGAAGCCTCTTGTCTCTGTAAAATTAAACCAAAGAATTAAAGAGAAGTGAGACTCCAAATCCTGTGCCAAATTTTTAACTTTTTTTTATACAGACCTTTGAGCCAACTAATGTTAGTTTCACTTGTGCTCCTCTGAACTATTGCCAAACCACTTTAGCTCAAATTCTTCAAGCCATGGCCCAGTGGCGAGAGCATGAATCTCTAATACTCATGGTTGACTTCATTATTTTTCCAGTTCAATAAAGCAAGGAGTCTATACAACCTGCTTTGTATAGTGAGATCTTGGTTTGTTTTCACTGAATGTCAAGGGAAGACAACAGGAGGCAAGGAATAGCTGGTCTTATAGGAGTCTATTCCTTATGATCCCTGTGATCATATTTCCTTAAGTGCTCTCGATACAATTCATTTTTTTTTTTCAATAAAATAGGCAAAAAAGCAACAAAATCTATTCATAAACGCATGACCATCAGTTGCAAGAACTGGTAAAGCAAGGAATGTTTGCCCAGTCAAAGCAATGGGTGACAATGTTTCAAATCAATACTTGACAAGAATTCAGCTAACTCACAAGCATACGCAGGCCTTTCACTTTGCTCCCTGGAAGCCAACACCACCAATACTATAGGAAAAATAAGTAAGCTTGGGGAGCACCAAAGGCACTGACATGCAAACATCCCAGATGGGTTCCGCTTTCTCCCGTTACACATGCGCATCCAGAGGAGAGACCCAGAAAGATCTGGATCTCAAACAGAGATTTAAACATGTATAAAAAAATCATTGATGGGCCATGCTGAAGTGTCACAGGGAAATCACCAGCTCGTACTTAGACCTCCACGAAGGGTCTGGCAGCAATTATCCGTGCATGGAGGCTTGAACTTCAGACAACCTGCTACAGCTTGGAGTGCCCATCCTCTGTGCTCTCTGATACAGATCTGAATCTCCAAAGTAGCGTGCCCGGTATAATAAGCCTTCCTCTGAAAAGAAAAAAATCCAGTCTTTAAAAACAGGATACAAAGTGTGATCTATTCAATAAAGCCACATCTTACCAGCATCTTTCTTTCCTGAACTAATTTCAATGGGAACAGGATGGGGTCTCAAGTTCCTCAAAGCCAGATGAAGTATAGTGCAAGACTAGGGAATGCCTGATGTCCTCTGGGACAGAATGCATGTGATCTCTGGCAGTAGACCTTTAAAAAATTATCTTAAGGAAACCTTTAGGAACTGAAGGAGGGACTGGAAGTAACCCTAGTGTGTGTGTATTGAAAAGGGACCAGCCCAGTAACATAGGAAAGAACATGGTAAAGTTACCATGATCAGCAGCAGCACCACCCTCAGTCTGCTGTGCTGCCCTGGGCAGGCTGCCTCCTGAACTAGAAGCTTAGTAGCCGCCACCTCACTCAGTATTGCCTACTACTTGCCCAAAGAGCTGTGTGGACATGGCCACACTGCTGCTGATTTAGGAGAGCATCACTGCCAAGCACAGAAAGTTTACCATGTAGACGTGAGGATGAAGGATCAGAGCTTATCACTCTGTTGTTTCTAAGGCCAGCAGAGCATTGCATCACTCAGCAGCAACTAATCAAGATGACTCACAGTAGCTCCAAGAAGCTCCAAAACGAGTCACATCAGCACTTCTTGATTAGAAAGATGGTCAGGAGGCAGGGCTCCAAGAAATCTTTGGAATATCTTCTTTATCCCACACAAGCAACAATGCAATGCAGCTCCTACTCTGGGCATTACTCCAAAGCAGCTGTAATCATTTGCTCTTGCACATTTTGCAGCATGAGCTGGATCCCACCATATGTCAGGGCAGATGGATACTGAATCTTATTCCCAAAACAAACATTTGACTAGGGGCCAGCAGAGGATACCCTAGAGTCAATAAGACATATTCTTGAATGACAGAAACAAGTTATATCATCACCTGAAAACTTCTGAAAAATAAAAAGGATTCCTTTTTCACCTTCTAGACCCTCTGATGTGACTCAGACAGTGTGGGCTGCACATATGGTACATTTACACAAAATCACTTTGTTCTGAAAGAACACAACCACAGTGCTATACAAACACAGGAGGAAACATCTGAATCACCTGGCCCTAACTTCCCCATCACTCAGGAAAGCAGAGAATGTCACTTATATCCCACCACATGGCAGAGGAGCTCCAAAGCACACAGGAGCTGCACTGATCATTTCTTTAATATGGTTTTAAAAACATGAAGATAAAATTTGTCAAGGAGTTGCAGATGAAGAGCTCAGGAGAATCCTCTAGTTCTATGCACCAATATAACTGTGGAAGAACAATTAGGTTTTGTATTTCAGTGTCTAGGCAAGGACTCCGTTCTGAAACAGATCAGGCTTAAAAGGGTACTCACAAAAAGCTTCTCTCTCCCACCATGCTACTTACTCTGTTGCTTTTCCTTCCAGCAGTTATTTCTAAGATTTGCAATGTAGTCATCTTCCACACTTCTTTCAACATTTTTCAGGTTTGTGCCAGTGTACTCTTCTGCAAAGTTCTCAGTTACATAGTAAACTACTTTCAAGTGCTCAGTCACCCTCCTCTGTACATGCCCAACAGACCTACGGCAGGGAGAAAAAATGAAATCAGTAAATGGTGGTATTCAGGTGCAGAGTAGTAAGTTGCAGTCTCATTATGAGGAACACAAAACCAGCAATATCACACTACTAAAAGGAAAAATTATCCTGATGCACTTCCCATTTTGGTAAGGAGAAAACATCTCTGTTTGAGTGAGACTGACAAACATTTTACCAGAAAGAACTAAAACTGACTTGGCCAGCTCATCAGGATTCCTATTAGCTTGTGTGCTTCCTTTGGAGTGCTGGTGTATCTTGGAGACTGGCCGAAAGAGAACTCTATGAATTATTTAAAATAAGGAGCATATTGCAATCTTCAACATCCCATCAGTTCTTGAAACTCTCACTATGTCCTTCCCACACATACAAGCCTCCTTCTCACTGTGCCCCAAAAATGCTCAGTCTAGTTATGAACCTTTGAAGTTGATGCATCTCAGACCAAGGCTTTTGTCAAACAAGCAATTCAGAATTGTTTAGAAAATTAAGGAACAGTGTAGGCCATAGCAGAACAAAGACACTGCTGACAGCTAAGCCTCCTCAACAGGGCTGCCTACCTGATGAATCTAACCCCTTTGGTCCTCATACTGCAGATCTCTCCTAAATCAAAGAGCAGAGAGGGGTAGTTTGCTGTTCCTTGCAGCCTACTGCAACACTTACTATTGCAGCAGAAAATGGATTACATTCCTCAGACCCCAGATTTATCCAGGACCATGAAAAATAATATCTACACATAAGAGGTTTTCTTACTCAGTGACAGCATTTCCTCTGGAGTAGCACTCCATGCAGAGCTAATGCATGTACAGTACTCCTCGGATAGCCCCACCAGCACTTCAGTAAACCTAGAGATGTTCGCTGAAGGTTTGCCACTGCACTGACCCAGAAAAGTGTCTATTCATGAATTTAATCAGGTGCAACTTCACTCTCAGGCAAACCCTGAGATACTAGCTGGCCACTAGATATATAAATAAAAGCATTAATAGTTTTTAAGAATTTATGCCACAAAAGAGGCTCAAAAGCCACTTCCCTTTTCTAAATAACAGTTCACTCAGCTCCCTTTTCAGTACACCATCTGAGGCATGAGAAGCTGCAGGAGAATGACTCTAATATATTCTCCAGCCAGAAACTGCTTCATAAGGGCAAAAAAGGTAGATTTTTTCAATCTTGTTAAACAAGTTGGAGAAACTGAATATAGCAGAAAAACTAACACTTGTTAGGACATAATCTAACACAGGGGTAGGCAACATTTTTTGGCCGGAGTGCCGAAAAA